TGAGAGACAATCTGTTATTTGAAAGAAAAAGAAAAAAAAAGGGAAACTGATTTCCTACACTAGATATGAAGAAATGTAGCTCTGCTTACCATATTTCTGTACTCTCTATCAAAACAGCCAAGTTTTTTGTCAAAAATTATTTAAAAAAAAAAAAACCAGCTATTTTTTCAGGGCAGCCTTAGTTGAAATCTTTCTTTTACACACGGATCCTCACAAAAGCCGAGGTGCGGCCAGCTACCTTTTTCTATGGAAGTACCATGCCACTTTCCTTCCAGGATTGGTCATACTTCACGCAAGAATTACATTTACCTGGGCTAAAGGTTTTGAACTGGGGTCCAGCTTACTCCTATGGATATCGAATTCTGCACGTTTATGCCAAAACCTCCAAGCATCCAGAAGATTCCTGTAGTTCTCAATCCAGTACTGAACCCTTTCATCCTTAAGTACATCTGACGGAGAACCCTAAAGCAGGCAGGAAAGAAATGTCAGACACGCACTGATGATACACAATACATATTACTCACTTTTTTGCAAAGCGTACTACAAGGTATGAGAAATCATACGGTGTGATTTATCTAGAAAAAGACTAATCTTCTGCTAAACTGCAACATGAGTGTGATAAAAATTTACGTCAGTCTGCCTCTCTAGTTGAAAATACCTGCACTGCCATGTCCTGCTAAAAACTCGTGTCTGTCAGATGAGGGTTTGTGAAATTCTGTCACATTTCAGAGTCTGTATCACTGTTATGATTACATACATAGTTAAACACAGTGCTGGCAATACCTGCAACTGTGTAAGGGCCAAGACATGTCTGTTATTAAAAAAACCAAACCCAATACCTACAGGCAAACAAAAAAACTTCAGCTCAGTTCTCCATCAACATTCTGAAGCAAAAAAATAATGTTTCGAACCTGTCAGGAAGCGCACCAGCCATAAGCTGGGGAATGGGTGTTCCCAGTGCAGTTAGAAAAAAGGACTATTTTTTCTTTTTGTCTGTTTCCCCTACTACCTCCTCAAGCTATCCCAGCCAGAGAGAGTGAAGATACAAGTTTGTTGTTAACACTGAGCACTTTAGATGATTCCACAAAACAGGCATGATAGATATTGTCACTAATTAATACAGAAAATACTTCCTAGTTCACCAGATTCAATACTATACTGCTAAAAAAAATTATCCTTAGTTTTTGTCTATAAAGATTTATATTAGAGTGAAACACTAACCTGTAGCATACAATAACTTGCTGTCTGGACATCTCCAGTTCTGTCAACATAACTTTCCATCAAGTCCACTCCATCTTTTGTCAACCCCGTTAGCAGTATTCCCTCCAAATTCCCAGCATCTTTCATTTCATTCGTCAACTTTTCAATAAACCTGTTCAGCTATTAAAAAAAAAAAAAAAAAAATTAACTTTTGCTCTCTGCTCATCCCTTCCTACCTCATTTATGTTGGTCTGTGTTAGAACTTTCAACAATTGAATAGCTTTATTTAAGGGTGTCTTTTGCTAACGGAATATGCTGCTTTCTGGATGTTATAAAGGAAAAGGTATATGCCTATATCCACTATACTGCAAGAATTCAAGAATCAAAAACTTTAAACCTGCTGATATGAAGTGCAAAGAAGGAGGTTCCGTATTCTTTAAATACTGCAGTGAATTTAAAAGGAAACATTCCTGTTGTAAAACCAAGCCTTAATTCAAGAGAAAGTAAATAGCTGGGAATAAATAATGCATAAGTACAAATACTCTCCAGTAAGACAGTAACATTTAACAAACTAGCATGTCATCAGTATTAAAAAGGAGACAGAAATCAAGACGAAGGTATAAACTGAAGACCAGATTATACCATACCTTATATCCTATTGCCGTGAGAAAAACCACATCACTCACTGCTTCCACTATACACCCCTCCACCCCAGAGATTCTTCTATCTCTAAATAAAACTCATCTTAGCAGTTTGCTTAAGTGTGCAACCACAGACTTACTTGAGCATCATTGAGGAACTTGCAAGCAAATGCCACTCTGTCTCGTACAGCGACGTTATTTTCGTACTTTGGAGAGAAAAATGAGAATGCTACCATCACAGGCAAGCTTTCACTTGTTCAACACATTGTAAAAGTCAGAATATTTGCGCTAAGGTGTAACTAGTACTACAAGTTTGAGAATGGACAAAGACAGCACTGCATGTGAAGAAAGTGAACACGTTATCAGATGAATTGTTTATATTCAGATACAGGGATCAGTGCCAGACTGTGGCTACTGGAAGAACCTATTCTTTGAGTGCACCCTCAGCAAGTT